GTTGGCAGCAGAACGGCAGTTCCAGAGGCTGCCTGAGACCTGGAACTCCAGGTGTGGGGTGCGTGCAGGGACCACCAGGTTAGAGAGGCAGCAGCCACGCGGTGTGAGGCGTTTGTGTAGCCTGTGCAGAGAGGAGAGAACAGGGATAGGCAGAGGCATAGTTGACAGGCTGTAGCAAATGGCTACAATAATGCAGAGGAGATCGGAATGAAATGAACTAAACATCTGGGAGAGGAGAGAGCAGGGCCTCCCTCACCAAAACTTCCACCTCAGAAACTATAATTGTTTCACTGAACCACCCGAACAAAAACTCTCCCAACTTCCACCTTTAGAAATCAGAATTGTTGTGAACCACAGCGGTTCAATGTTTAAAGGAATAGACTCAACCCACTTTATTCAGCTAGCTAACTATGACACCATAGCTAACTAGCATGCTAGCATCCAATAACACACAGTTTAGCACCAACACTTGGTCACAACAAACCACCAATAGTGTGTTAACACACTAAGCAGATAATTCGTGTCCGTGTCTAGTTCCTTTCAAAACGCAGCAGTAATTAAACGTTGGCTAGCTTAGCACAAATATATTGTATTTAGCTGCCACAGTACAGCACACAATGGCTACTGTGTTGACTCTGTTCGAAAAACGGCTAGCTAGCTAGCTTCGTGCTACACCCGGCACCGCCGAAGACAATGCCAACCTACAGTAACTACCCACAACAGCCCACGATGCCTAACTATGACACCATAGCTAACTAGCATGCTAGCATCCAATAACACACAGTTTAGCACCAATACTTGGTTACAACAAACTACCAATAGTGTGTTAACACACTAAACAGATCATTCGTGTCCGTGTCTAGTTCCTTTCATAACGCAGCAATAATTAAATGTTGGCTAGCTAGCATAAGTATATTGTATTTAGCTACTACAGTACAGTTAGCTGGTCGTGTTGGCTAGCTAGCAATGGCCACTGTGTTGACTTTGTTTGAAGAACGGCTAGCTAGCTAGCTTCGTGCTACACCCGGCACCAATACTTGGTTACAACAAACTACCAATAGTGTGTTAACACACTAAACAGATAATTCGTGTCCGTGTCTAGTTCCTTTCATAACGCAGCAAAAATTAAACGTTGGCTAGCTAGCACATTAACATTGGAAACAACTCTCCACCGTTGCTAAACGTTACCAGTAGCTACCCGCTAGCTAGCTAGCCTCGTGCTTCGCCGGGCTCCGCCGTAAACAATACTTACCTACAATAATTACCTACGGAAACCTACAATAACTACCTAAATAAACTACCTACAATACCTAACTACAACTACCTACCTACGATCAAATGCATGGTTTAAGCTTTACTCAACACCATATAAGAAGCCAAGCTTACCTCAAGCTTACCTCCTGCTAGAGAAAACACAACCTCTCCCGACCACAGCTTAATAAGTATAGGGAGCGTAACTTTTTTCACCGCGACCGGTAAACAGAGTTTACCCCCCAATATTTTGACCACTACATCACTGGCTACCGGTAGGCCTATTAGAAGTTAATGGTAATACACATTGTAGCCCAGTCTAGTAAATTGACCGTGTGTGTTAGGGTGACCATCCAGTTTTTCCTGGGACAGTTTCAGCTCCATTTCAAATGTGTCCCAAAAAAGGTCAATTTGTCAGCAAGAAGCATCAATTCATGAAGGTCTAATCAATGGCAATTGCTGAATGTCATTATGTACTCTTTATGGTGCTTTGTAAATAGATGTCTATTTCCATTCAACAAATGGTGTGAGTATACATGCAGTGCACTGTTTGGAAGCTGAAATTATTTTGGAGTGGATGAACATGCACAGGTAGCCTACTTTTTGAAGTGATTAGTTTGACAAGCAGATGAAAGCATCATGACTGGTTGTGTTCATGCCACATTAAAAGTTCTTTATTTTTACGTTAAATTACATATTTTTATCATAAAAAATAATAGAGACCCCCCGGGTGTAATTCATACTCTGTACTAGTCTGTTCTCTACTGGTAAAGAAGGGGACTGGCCAACCCTCAGATCCTGGTTCCTCTCTAGGTTTCTTCCAGTGGAGGCTGCTGAGGGGAGGACAGCTCATAGTAATGGCTGGAATGGAGTCAATGGAATGGTATCAAACATGTTGTTTCTGTCACGCCCTGGCTCTGGTGACGCTTGTATGTTGAGCCAGGGTGTGAGTTTTCTTTGTTTATTGTAGTTTTTTATCTAGCTCTTTCGTTTATCAGCTGTTGCTTGTTGTCTCTGATTGGGAACCATACTTAAGCAGCCAGTTTTCCCACAGTGTTTGTGGGATCTTGTTCCTGTGTAGGTTTGTGTTTTGCACCTTTGGACGTCACGTATCGATTTGTTGTTTTGTTCGTTTATCATTTAATAAATAAGTATGTACACCTTCCACGCTGCGCCTTGGTCCTCTGTATCCGACGATCGTGACAGAAGATCCCACCAACACTGGACCAAGCAGCGTGTCCAGGAGCCAACGCCAGAGGTATCGCTAAAGGACATCAACCTCGACTGGGCCTGGCCCACGGGGATGGGAGAGACCCCCAGACAATTTTTAGGGGGGGGCTCACGCCGTGGACGACGGGGCACCAGGAGGCCGCGATAGAGCGGTCCAGCGGGTTTGCAGAGGAGGCCGCCAGGTTAAGGGGGCCACTGGTCACAGAGGGGAGGGAAAGTGTAGAGGCACGGCGAGAGGTACTGGGGTGTGTTACCAGTCCGGTCCGGCCCGTTCCTGATCCCTGCGTAGGGCCAGTGGTGTGTGTCCCCAGTACGGTCCGGCCTGTTCCTGTTCCTCGCATCGAGCCAGTGGTGCGCTTCGTCAGACCGGTCCGGCCCGCTCCTGCTCCCCGCACCAAGTCAGTGGTGCGCTTCGTCAGCCCGGCTCGGCCCGTTCCTGCTCCCCGCACCAAGTCAGTGGTGCGCTTCGTCAGCCCGGTCCGGCCAGTTCCTGCTCCCCACGCCAAGCCAGTGGTGTGCGTCGTCAGCCCGGTCCGGCCCGTTCCTGCTCCCCACGCCAAGCCAGTGGTGTGCATCGTCAGTCCGGCACAGCCCGTGCCTGTTCCACCGGTGCCTGGTCCGGCACCGGTCAGCTGCTCCACGCCGGAGCTAGAGCAATCCGCTCCACCAGTGTTCAGTCCAGCTCCGGCCAGCAGGGCCAGCCCGGACCAGGGGTACTGTGGGGGGTTAGAGAGGGAGTGGGGATCATGCCCGGAGCCGGATCCGCCGCCAAGGCAGAGTGCCCACCCGGTCCCTCCCCTGTGGTGTTTGGTTGGCGCGGTCGGAGTCCGCGCCTTTGGTGGGGGGTACTGTCACGCCCTGGCTCTGGGGACGCTTGTATGTTGAGCCAGGGTGTGAGTTTTCTTTGTTTATTCTAGTTTTTTATCTAGCTCTTTCGTTTCTATGTTGGCCAGTGTGGTTCTCAATCAGAGGCAACGTGTATCAGCTGTTGCTTGTTGTCTCTGATTGGGTACCATACTTAGGCAGCCAGTTTCCCACAGTGTTTGTGGGATCTTGTTCCGTGTTGGTTTGTGTTCTGCACCTGTGGACGTCACGTATCGATTTGTTGTTTTGTTCGTGTATCATTTAATAAATAAGTATGTTCACCTTCCACGCTGCGCCTTGGTCCTCTATATCCGACGATCGTGACAGTTTCCATATGTGTGATACCATTCCATTGATTCCATTCCACCCTTTACTATGAGCCGTCCTCCCCTCAGCAGCCTCCACTGGTTTCTTCCTAGTCACTGTGCTTCTACATCTGCATTGCTTGGTGTTTGGGGTTTTAGGCTGGGTTTCTGTATAAGCACTTTGTCACAACTGCTGATGTAAAAAGGGCTTTATAAAATCAATTTGATTGATTTGCTATAGGCACTGGTAAGATTGAATATATGAGTCTACTGGTATGGTGCTGGAGAGATAATACACTTTAAAAGCGGTGAATTGATCCTCTAACATCTCTTCTATACCTCTATTGAATCATCCTCATGACCTGTGAAATGAATGTAGAACAGTGACGTGACCACAGCATGTGGTGGTGGTGTAGGGGAACAGAGCAGTGTGTGACTGTTTCCTGTGTTCAGGTTGACCCGGTCTGGAAAGAAGCGTCGTCTGAAGACTGAGATCTCTAGTCTGGAGGAGAAGCTGAGGTTCATGAAGGTAACACTAGTGTTCATATCTGAGAGGTCAAATGTCATTGGTTGTCCAGGTTGACCCCGTCTGAGGATAAGTGGCATTGTCTGGAGACTGAGATCTATTTTCTGAAGAAGAAGCTGGAGGTGCTGAATGTAAGACTAGTGGCCATGTCTATAGTCAATGTGAGCAAACTCCATACAGTAGATCACAATATTCTCTGAAGACACTGCAATCTACTGTGTGTGTATGTTTGTCTGTGTGTGTGTAGAGGAGAGGGCGGCAGTCAGAGGCCAACAGGGATGAGCAGTCTGCCAAACTCCCCAGAACTTCCTCCTATGGAAGGTGAGTGGACATACAAAGATGAAATGAGTCTAATATTAACAACTCTACCATAACATATTTTATTACATCATCCTCATGACCTGTGAAATGAATGTAGAACAGTGAAGTGACCACAGCATGTGGTGGTGGTGTAGGGGAACAGAGCAGTGTGTGACTGTTTCCTGTGTCCAGGTTGACCCCGTCTGGAGAGAAGCGTCGTCTGGAGACTGAGATCTCTAGTCTGGAGGAGCTGAGGTTCATGAAGGTAACACTAGTGGTCATGTCTGAGAGGTCAAATGTCATTGTGAACAAACCACATATAGATCACAGCCACATACTGTGTGTGAGTGTGTGTGTGTGTGTGTGTTAAAGTTCCAACTATAATCTATTTTATGATGATATTGAGGGACCAGTATAAATATTCTAATACGTCTTAACAATATTAATATATTCATGTTCTTTATTTTATATCAGTAGTCAGTTTTTCTATTCCTTCCTCACTCTTGTTATCTTTGTTGTTTTAGAGAATGTTGGCTGCTCCAGCTTTGCTGCTGACCACTCTGAAGGAGATGAACCCACATGAGCTGAAGACATTTCAGTCTTTCCTGACTAGTGGCCTGCTGCCTGACTGTCCTCCCATCCCAGAGAGTCAGCTGGAGAACGCTGACAGACAGGTCACAGTGGTTCAGATGGTGAAGACATACGGCCCTGAGAGAGCTGTGGAGATCACACTGAGGATCCTGAGGGGGATGAAGCGGGTAGACCTAGCAGAGAAGTTAGAGACAGATCACAGAGGAGGTAACAGAACAAGAATGTACATCAATCTATACATCACAATCACAGTTCAGTGGAGGTCTAACCAGAAAGAACATTCAACTGACTTCATAATAACATTCAGCAGGCCTCTCTTTTATCATTTTTATTCATGATGTATCCAGGTGGCCCCATTATGTTTAAACAGCAATCCAACATTCATTATATTCCATACATACAATCACCAATACAGTAGGGAAGATATCACAAACAGATTAGACTTTCTAATCATGGCTGTGTATCTCTTCCTGAGCTGCCTAATCTGGAAGATGAACCAGAATGATCTGGTAGAGAAGTTAGAGAGAGATCAGAGAAGTAGGATTGTAGACAAGGACCCTAACTGTCTCTCTATCCCCCCTCCTATCTCCCCCTCTATTTCCCCTGTTTCCCCCTCTTTCTCAAGTACTGCCTCAACCTCTCATCTGTCCTTATTCCCACCAGGCCCTGATCCGTCCTCTCCCCTGTGTGGTTATCCCCCATTTCCCCCCTTCTCTCCAGCTCTATCTTCTTCCCAGTGTGGTTACCCTCCAGTTCTTCCTCCTTCCTTTCTGTCTCATCTAGGTTCTGGTAGTAGCTTAGGACAGCTCATCTCACAGGTAAGAGGACCGTTAGAGAAGGATCACTTCTACCCTCCTATGTTAAAACACCTGTACTCACTGTCATAGTCAGTTCTACAGTTCTACCCTCGTATGTTAAAACACCTGTACTCACTGTCATAGTCAGTTCTACAGTTCTACCCTCATATGTTAAAACACCTGTACTCACTGTCATAGTCAGTTCTACAGTATGAAATGATACAGTCCACACATACAGTCTAGATAATTAACTGATCTCTCATGTACACTATGAGTGGTGGGGGTCAGACTGCATCCCTACACACACACACACACACACACACCAACTGTAATCTATTATATGATGATATGAGAATGAGATATTGAGAGACCAGTAGAAATATTCTAATACGTCTTAACAATATTAATACATTCATGTTCTTTATTTTATATCAGTAGTCAGTTTTTCTATTCCTTCCTCACTCTTGTTATCTTTGTTGTTTTAGAGACCCTCCATGTTGGCTGTTCCAGCTCTGCTGCTGACCACTCTGGAGGAGATGAACCCACATGAGCTGAAGACATTTCAGTTTTTCATGACTAGTGGCCTGCTGCCTGACTGTCCTCTCATCCCAGAGAGTCAGCTGGAGAACGCTGACAGACAGGTCACAGTGGATCAGATGGTGAAGACATACGGCCCTGAGAGAGCTTTGAATATCACACTGAGGATCCTGAGGGGGATGAAGCGGGTAGAACTAGCAGAGAAGTTAGAGACAGATCACAGAGGAGGTAACAGAACAAGAATGTACATCAATCTATACAGTGGGGAAAAAAATTATTTAGTCAGCCACCAATTGTGCAAGTTCTCCCACTTAAAAAGATGAGAGAGGCCTGTAATTTTCATCATAGGTACACGTCAACTATGACAGACAAAGTGAGAAAAAAAATCCAGAAAATCACATTGTAGGATTTTTTATGAATTTATTTGCAAATTATGGTGGAAAATAAGTATTTGGTCACCTACAAACAAGCAAGATTTCTGGCTCTCACAGACCTGTAACTTCTTCTTCACATTTACATTTTACATTTTAGTCATTTAGCAGACACTCTTATCCAGAGCGACTTACAGTTAGTGAGTGCATACATTATTATTTTTTTTATTTTTATTTTTTATACTGGCCCCCCGTGGGAATCAAACCCACAACCCTGACATTGCAAACGCCATGCTCTACCAACTGAGCTACATCCCTGCCGGCCATTCCCTCCCCTACCCTGGACGACGCTGGGCCAATTGTGCGCCGCCCCAATGGACTGTCCTCCTGTGGACTATCCTCCACTCGTTACCTGTATTAATGGCACCTGTTTGAACTTGTTATCAGTATAAAAGACACCTGTCCACAACCTCAAACAGTCACACTCCAAACTCCACTATGGCCAAGACCAAAGAGCTGTCAAAGGACACCAGAAACAAAATTGTAGACCTGCACCAGGCTGGGAAGACTGAATCTGCAATAGGTAAGCAGCTTGGTTTGAAGAAATCAACTGTGGGAGCAATTATTAGGAAATGGAAGACATACAAGACCACTGATAATCTCCCTCGATCTGGGGCTCCACGCAAGATCTCACCCCGTGGGGTCAAAATGATCACATGAACGGTGAGCAAAAATCCCAGAACCACACAGGGGGATCTAGTGAATGACCTGTAGAGAGCTGGGACCAAAGTAACAAAGCCTACCATCAGTAACACACTACGCCGCCAGGGACTCAAATCCTGCAGTGCAAGACGTGTCCCCCTGCTTAAGCCAGTACATGTCCAGGCCCGTCTGAAGTTTGCTTGAGTGCATTTGGATGATCCAGAAGAGGATTGGGAGAATGTCATATGGTCAGATAAAACCAAAATAGAACGTTTTGGTAAAAACTCAACTCGTCGTGTTTGGAGGACAAAGAATGCTGAGTTGCATCCAAAGAACACCATACCTACTGTGAAGCATGGGGGTGGAAACATCATGCTTTGGGGCTGTTTTTCTGCAAAGGGACCAGGACGACTGATCCGTGTAAAGGAAAGAATGAATTGGGCCATGTATCGTGAGATTTTGAGTGAAAACCTCCTTCATTGAAGATGAAACGTGGCTGGGTCTTTCAGCATGACAATGATCCCAAACACACCGCCCGGGCAACGAAGGAGTGGCTTCGTAAGAAGCATTTCAAGGTCCTGGATTGGCCTAGCCAGTCTCCAGATCTCAACCCCATAGAAAATCTTTGGAGGGAGTTGAAAGTCCGTGTTGCCCAGCGACAGCCCCAAAACATCACTGCTCTAGAGGAGATCTGCATGGAGGAATGGGCCAAAATACCAGCAACAGTGTGTGAAAACCTTGTGAAGACTTACAGAAAACGTTTGACCTGTGTCATTGCCAACAAAGGGTATATAACAAAGTATTGAGAAACTTTTGTTATTGACCAAATACTTATTTTCCACCACAATTTGCAAATAAATTCATAAAAAATCCTACAATGTGATTTTCTGGAAAAATTTTCTCATTTTGTCTGTCATAGTTGACGTGTACCTATGATGAAAATTACAGGCCTCTCTCATCTTTTTAAGTGGGAGAACTTGCACAATTGGTGGCTGACTAAATACTTTTTTCCCCCACTGTACATCACAATCACAGTTCAGTGGAGGTCTAACCAGAAAGAACATTAAACTGACTTCATAAAAACATTCAGCAGGCCCCTCTTTTATCATTTTTATTCATGATGTATCCAGGTGGCCCCATTATGTTTAAACAGCAATCCAACATTCATTATATTCCATACATACAATCACCAATACAGTAGGGAAGATATCACAAACGGATTAGACTTTCTAATCATGGCTGTATATCTCTTCCTGAGCTGCCTAATCTGGAAGATGAACCAGAATGATCTGGTAGAGAAGTTAGAGAGAGATCAGAGAAGTAGGATTGTAGACAAGGACCCTAACTGTCTCTCTATCCCCCCTCCTATCTTCCCCTCTATTTCCCCTGTTTCCCCCTCTTTCTCGGGTACTGCCTCAACCTCTCACCTGTCCTCATCCTTCCCCTCCATTCACCAAGCCACCCTTCGAATACGAAGGCCAACGCCCAATATACACCACCTTCACTCCCACTACTTCACTGGCTCGTCTAAGAAGTTGTTGGCGTTAACTTCTGCTGGTAGCTCAGGACAGCTCAGCTCACAGGTAAGAGGACGGTTAGAGAAATGTAGGATCACTTCTACCCTCATATGTTAAAACACCTGTACTCACTGTCATAGTCAGTTCTACAGTTCTACCCTCATATGTTAAAACACCTGTACTCACTGTCATAGTCAGTTCTACAGTATGAAATGATACAGTCCACACATACAGTCTAACTAATCTCTCATGTACACTATGAGTGGTGGGGGTCAGACTGCAGCCCGATTGTCCCTGCCCTTCTCACTGCTGCCATGGTGGGCAACATGTTCACAATAGAACAGAAAACAGGTCAAAAATACATAGAAACATTTTCTATTATAGAAGTATGTTTCTATTCTGTTGATTTGAATCAAGGAAACCCCAAAGCTGGAGATGGACTGTCCTCCCATCCTAGACATCCCACTGGAGATGGCTAACAGTGTCAACACAGAGGTAGCTGTGAACACCCAGGAGAACACCCAGAGGATGGACGAGGAGTTGGGAAGAGAAAGGGGTAACAGCTAATATATTAATCTGGATCAATGATGAAGTTGAAGTTGTATAGAAAAACATCTTTATTTGGTTCTCTTTAGGTTCTCCTCTCTTCCTGGAACACCATCACATGGTAAGACCCTCACTGGACTGAGAGAAAGACTGAAATTAGAAACTATTCTTCACACTATTGGTTGAATTACAGTATCTATTGTTTCTACATTTTAGAGTTCTCCAGATGAATTTACACCTGAAATCCACGATCAGGACAACAGGAGAGAATACCGGTAACTTAATATATTTAATGTTTCTTATTGGTAGTTTGTATAAAAGAAGGACAATACCTTAAATCCAGAAAATCTCACAAAATGAAATCCTTCATTGTTTGTTCTACAGGTTCCAGTGCCCCAGTGCAGGTTTGTTCCAGTGCAGTATAACAGGCCTGGTGTTTAGGATGGAGGGAGAGGGAGAGGGAGAGGTGCTCTATAGGACAGTCCCCTGGGACAGGAGGCTTCTAGCCCAGAGAGGCAAGAGACCTGCAGGACCCCTGTTCAAGTTTACATGCCTTAAGGGGTCTGTCTGTCAACTACACCTCCCACACTGTCAGATTCATTCTGGTAAGTAATACATTTCCAGGGAGGTTATAGACTACGTATTCTTAATCACCATCAGTAGCATCACTACTCCACTACTTGGTTGTTTTTGTCATCTGAACAGAAGTCTAATGTTCTCTTTCTCTCCTAGAGGGTGGATGTGACTTCCTGTCTGTAGCCCATGTGACTGATGATGACAGTATGGAGTTTCTCCGTCCCCATGAGACAACAGAAACTCATGTCATATTAAACATCAATGGATTCAGCAAATATGGCATTACCAAAGATAAGGAAGCCCCTGTCTCTCCTATCCGTGGTCTGGTGCTACTATTTTACCAACTCCCAGATGATACAAATAATTCCACCCTAAATGTGTTGTTGCTGCCCAGGAATGTTGACATTGATGAGGTAAGTAGATTAGAGTTGTCAAATTCCTCTTTCGTTGGAATTCTATCAAACTCATACTGTTGAACTCACCTTTTGCCACAGAACATTATTTTTGGGTGTAACGTAACACTAAATGGTGAATCCAAACCAGGGGGGTCTCTCGCTCGCCAACCCAACATCTTAACCATTACTTCAAGATGATACCCTCAAGGTCCGAGGGCGACATTTGGGCTTCCATGTTTCAGGCAGGGCTTACTGTCACGACTTCCTCCGAAGCTGCTTCCTCTCCTTGTTTTCGGGCAGGCTTCGGTGTTCGTCGTCACCAGCCTTCACTGCCACTGCCGCTCCTCATCTCATCATTCCATTTGTTTTGTCTTGTTTATTACACACACCTGGTTTCAATTCCCCTCATCAGTAGCTGTATAAGTGTTCCCTCTGCCCCCTTGTCCTGGTTCATAGCCCCTCATCAGTACCTGTATAAGTGTTCCCTCTGCCCCCTTGTCCTGGTTCATAGCCCCTCATCAGTACCTGTATAAGTGTTCCCTCTGCCCCCTTGTCTTTGTGTGTGATTGATTATTGTGGAGGTTATATGAGCTCGGTGGAGCTCCTTGTACTTTGTATCGACATCGACATACAGTGGGGAAAAAAAGTATTTAGTCAGCCACCAATTGTGCAAGTTCTCCCACTTAAAAAGATGAGAGAGGCCTGTAATTTTCATCATAGGTACATGTCAACTATGACAGACAAATTGAGGAAAAAAATTCCAGAAAATCACATTGTAGGATTTTTTATGAATTTATTTGCAAATTATGGTGGAAAATAAGTATTTGGTCACCTACAAACAAGCAAGATTTCTGGCTCTCACAGACCTGTAACTTCTTCTTTAAGAGGCTCCTCTGTCCTCCACTCGTTACCTGTATTAATGGCACCTGTTTGAACTTGTTATCAGTATAAAAGACACCTGTCCACAACCTCAAACAGTCACACTCCAAACTCCACTATGGCCAAGACCAAAGAGCTGTCAAAGGACACCAGAAACAAAATTGTAGACCTGCACCAGGCTGGGAAGACTGAATCTGCAATAGGTAAGCAGCTTGGTTTGAAGAAATCAACTGTGGGAGCAATTATTAGGAAATGGAAGACATACAAGACCACTGATAATCTCCCTCGATCTGGGGCTCCACACAAGATCTCACCCCGTGGGGTCAAAATGATCACATGAACGGTGAGCAAAAATCCCAGAACCACACAGGGGGATCTAGTGAATGACCTGTAGAGAGCTGGGACCAAAGTAACAAAGCCTACCATCAGTAACACACTACGCCGCCAGGGACTCAAATCCTGCAGTGCAAGACGTGTCCCCCTGCTTAAGCCAGTACATGTCCAGGCCCGTCTGAAGTTTGCTAGAGTGCATTTGGATGATCCAGAAGAGGATTGGGAGAATGTCATATGGTCAGATGAAACCAAAATAGAACGTTTTGGTAAAAACTCAACTCGTCGTGTTTGGAGGACAAAGAATGCTGAGTTGCATCCAAAGAACACCATACCTACTGTGAAGCATGGAGGTGGAAACATCATGCTTTGGGGCTGTTTTTCTGCAAAGGGACCAGGACGACTGATCCGTGTAAAGGAAAGAATGAATTGGGCCATGTATCGTGAGATTTTGAGTGAAAACCTCCTTCCATCAGCAAGGGCATTGAAGATGAAACGTGGCTGGGTCTTTCAGCATGACAATGATCCCAAACACACCGCCCGGGCAACGAAGGAGTGGCTTCGTAAGAAACATTTCAAGGTCCTGGAGTGGCCTAGCCAGTCTCCAGATCTCAACCCCATAGAAAATCTTTGGAGGGAGTTGAAAGTCCGTGTTGCCCAGCGACAGCCCCAAAACATCACTGCTCTAGAGGAGATCTGCATGGAGGAATGGGCCAAAATACCAGCAACAGTGTGTGAAAACCTTGTGAAGACTTACAGAAAACGTTTGACCTGTGTCATTGCCAACAAAGGGTATATACCAAAGTATTGAGAAACTTTTGTTATTGACCAAATACTTATTTTCCACCATAATTTGCAAATAAATTCATTAAAAATCCTACAATGTGATTTTCTGGATTTTTTTTTCTCATTTTGTCTGTCATAGTTGACGTGTACCTATGATGAAAATTACAGGCCTCTCTCATCTTTTGAAGTGGGAGAACTTGCACAATTGGTGGCTGACTAAATACTTTTTTCCACACTGTATATACGGAATAAACCTTTATTCTGTGATTTACCCTCCTGTGCCTGACTCCGTCCAAATCACACGCCACAGCTACCTCATCATGACAGTGTGTTCCAATCCATTTTCAATCCTCTCAAGGTGTGTGAGAAAAGGAGGAGAAGGAATGGAGACAGAGAAAATCTACATTGAAATAAATCCTAACTGTAGACTAACCCCGGACCAAGAATACACCCTCTCCACCGATCTTACAGATGAACATCACATAGATCCAAAGGTAGGCTAATATATATATGACATGAGCTAGAGAGAGAGAGGAAATGTGTTAACACATGTCAATTATTTTTGTGACGCTACCTTGATAAGATATAGAAATCACATAATTCCGATTGACATGATACTCATGCTTTTTTTTCCAGGAAGCAGAGTTTGTGGATTATGATTCCTATACAAACTACATGCCAACATTCCTGTTGCGTTTAAAAACTGTTGTTGAAGAAGTGAATCTTCTTCTGAAAGAACATGACGGTCCTGAAAATGAACGCGTATGGAACCGCCTTGTTTCACTACCAGGTAACTGAAATTCAGAGAGAGTAGGAGTTACTATAGAACTAGTAGTAATAGTAGCATTTTACATTTACATTTTACATTAGTAGCAATCATCATAATAGTATGGTAGTAGTGCTGTTGTTGTTGATTTAATCTAATTATGATACAATTGATTATTTCACCATATAAATGTAGTACATCACCTTCTCTTTTAATCCACAGCCTCACCAACAGAAGTGAAGTCTACAGGTAACTGGTCTCATCAAACCTTATACTTGTCTTAGTCTCATCAACTCACAATTCAATTGGGAACAACTCATATTCTCCTAATGGTTCTGTGTTGTAAAATAGATTGTGTGTGCGCCATTTGATTTGACCTGCGGTTTAACCTCATAAACTGCACCATAAATTTAAACGACTATATTCTTTATAGTCTGTCACTTATTTTGTTAAAGGTCCTGCACAGTCAAAATCATGTTTTTCATGAAATGTGATGATATTCGGATTAAATCAGATCAAATTAGGATGACCAAAGTATGAAAAATGACTGTTTCTTCTGCATTGATAAAGTTATCATAAAGGTACTCATCCTCTCCCCCATGTCAACCACTTGGATTCAGGAGCTGGGATTATTAAAGGATTTTTGTGACATTATTTTCTTACCTAATTTAAATAAGTACCGCCTTGTAACCAACATCGCAGAAGGCGTATTCGCAGAGGGGTGTGGATTACATAGCAGCGTGTTCGATGAATAGGGGAAACCTGTAATTATATTTTCTAAGGCAAATATACTTTCCGCTTTCATCTGTGTCTGGTGTTAGCTAGTTACTGGCTAGCTAGGTCTTTCATCAGCATGGAACAAAAGTGGGGGAAGGTTAGCCCAAAACTCAGACCCATTTGTCATGTCATTACATCAAGAGACATGCCAAACATGAGATTCATACAAACTTCTTGACATCATTGATAGTCATGATATATGAACATTGTCTGACTGAGTGTACAAAACATTATGAACACCTGCTCTTCCCTGACATAGACTGACCAGGTGAATCCAGGTGAAAGCTATGATCCCTTATTGATGTCACTTGTTAAATCCACTTCAGTCAGTGTAGATGAAGGGGAGGAGACAGATTAAAGAAGGATTTTTAAGGCTTGAGACAATTGAGACATGGATTATTTATGTGTGCCATTCAGAGGGTGAATGGGCAAGACAAGAGATTTAAATGCCTTTGAACGAGATATAGTAGTAGGTGCCAGGCGCACCGGTTTGTGTCAAGAACTGCAACGCTGCTGGGTTTTTCACGCTCAACAGTTTCCTGTGTGTATCAAGAATGGTCCACCACCCAAAGGACATCCAGCCAACTTGACACAACTGTGGGAAGCATTGTTGTCAACATGGACCAGCATCCCTGTGGAACGCTTTTCGACACCTTGTAGAGTCCAAACCCAGACCACAACCAGTAAAGTTTCAACAAACATTTTCCAAGATGATCTAGCTAGCTAGCTCGATAAACAGTGCTGAAAATTCAATTTGGTCTAGCTAGTGTTGGTGAACACATAATTCAGGAGAGGGAGTACAAACCATCGACGCTAGACAGAGAGGAATTTGCTTAATGCAAAAAGGCAGTTTATTAAAACAGAGAGATCTTGTCCTGCTCAAGCTACATGCATGGACCCCAATCAATTGCCTCTCATGGAGACAGTTGAGAAGGAATGATTAAACAGAGTTTACAACATCTTTTATACAATGTAACAGCAAGGGAGGGATCCCTCTCCTAGTCCCTCGATTGGCTCCCGAGGCGTAGGAGGCGGGTCTGCTCTGTCCAGAGTAGAAGCCCCATTGGTGCACGGCAGAGTCCTCTGCCCTTGACACCCGACCAGTAGAAGGGGGGTTTGAGAATGAGTGTGCGTGCAAATGAAATGTTTGTGTGTGTCCAGGGAACTCGTGGGGAGTATGTTGGTTTATGGCCGGAGGTGGGGGGTGTTGTCCTATTATCGCATTCCTAGTAAGATTAGGCCATCTGGTGAGAAGATAAGGTGTTCTCCTGTCCTTTGTTCTCTACTCAAATGTTATCACAGACAACAGCACACTGTTAGTATCAGACACATGACACAGAACAGTACGCTGTTAGTATCAGACACATGACACACTCCTGTAACAGCATTTATTGAAAACAAGCTCCTAACACAAATGGGTCTTGCACAACCTCTTGCACAACATATAGTCAGACCAATCTATAACATTTTATATTTACTACGACACTAGCTAAATTATACAGCAACCATTATTTCTATATTGACGCTGTAACCAAACAGGATAAACAAATAATTTGTGAAACCATGATATGAGTTGCTTTGTGTATCAGCAAATTATCTTGAGATAATCTCATTGCATCACTGCGTCCATGTTGCTTGACATAGGCGGTTTCAAAGAACTGTCAGTCAAGGTGAGCTCCCCAGCCAATTAGCTCCCCGCCCACTCAGTCTGTCTTTTCAGACTTCCTGGTAGTTTCACATGAGATAAACTTTTTATCGGGGAAAAATATTGTTGGTGATGTTTTAGTCTGTAGCTAGGTTACATCCAGTTTGCGACAGATTTTCATGTGAATATTCTAAAATCTGCACAAAACAGTATGCACATTTTCCCACAAGAGATGTTTCCATCAAACTGATTTATAGAGAGCAATAGTGATGGCGTCTTTTTGTAGGCACTAACTCCGCCATGGTTCGTTGGGAAAGGCCTATGGGAAAATGAATGGCGTTTTTGTAAGGTTTTTCGATAATTGCCGAAAATAAGGTCTGCGGTAAACACAGGCTTAGGAGAGTTTATACGTTTTGTTCTATGAGATAATCTTTATCAGCTAAACTTTTTGTGAATTCTTTTAACGTTTATGTAGTAATAAAAAACAAAGCATAAAGGCTTCATAATTCATAAAGGTCCTGTTGACTGACTGATAATAATAATAATAATATGCCATTTAGCAGACGCTTTTATCCAAAGCGACTTACAGTCATGCGTGCATACATTTTTGCGTATGGGTGGTCCCGGGGATCGAACCCACTACCTTGGCGTTGCAAGCGCCGTGCTCTACCAGCTGAGCTACAGCTTATGAGCTTCATAAAACAAAACGTATAAGATCTCCTAAGGCTGTGTTAACCTCGGACTTATTTTGGACATTTATACTGTATTCTTTCCATAGGGATGGCTGAACGAACCAGAGGTAACTCATTTCCGGGTTTTAGGACTACAAGCTAGCGAGCTCTATTGCGGATAAAATGCTGTGCGTGGTGACGTACTGCACATAGAAATAACTTGGCGTTGTGCACATAAAACTAAATTCCCATGTACTGAATGAAAAATAGAAGTTAAATGGGTTTCCAACGCATTAAATGGGTTTCCAAATGAGAACCTGTTCTCAACTGGCTTACCTGGTTAAATAAAGGTGAAATAAAAAATAAAAAAATAAAAATTTCAACTCTACTGATGGTTTTGTCACAAAAACTGTTACGTTATAACAAATGTGCCCACTCTGGTCTTGGCACGTGCGCTCTAGCCAACAGCTAGATACAGTGCAGGTCGGCTACCTACATTATGAGATTATTATGGATAAGAGCGATATTATTTGTATTAGTCAAACGGCAGCAAAGCATAGTTCAAAATGTCACCAGAATAAGACCCTCGATATTTATTGGAAAGGAGCATAAAGCTCATCACCTTGCATATTCACCACCCTGTGAAGTTTATCATAACTTATTTCATCTTAGGCCTGAACTGCATGCTTTCCCAAGTCTTAATGGGAGGACCACACAACATATCGCGTGACTCCAAATTTACTCCGATATGTTGGTTATTATATAAATATTTGCGTATAAAGGCGTTTTCCACTCCCATTTCTCGCATGAAGGCGTTTTCCACTCCCATTTCTCGCATAATACATTTTACCGATACAAAAAGATCCCACCATGTCAAATAGACTAATTGTCTGTCGGCATTTATAAAAGTGTACCAGCATTTCCTGTTTATCGTGACTTTTTCATGCGTCAGGTAATTCATACGCATGAAATGGTTACTCAAAAGGCTATTTTACTGACTCAGAATGACTGTTCGCGACCTTTAACAAGTTATATTTTGTATCTACAGTTACACCACATGGTGGCACTACAGCAGGTAAATATCTCACAATCTTCAAAACCATAAACATGTTGAATGTCTTCAATTGCAATTATTAAAGGTAGACTCAGCAAGATGGCATCATCACACACAACAGGGAACTAGTTTACCTACACAAACATACAAGGATAATTCAGATCCGTCAGGACTGTTTATTTTAGTTATTATGATGTCACATGTTATAGTTCTCATTGTTTTATGTTTCTGTATCTAGGGACAACAGCACATGTTTCTTATCTGCTGCTGGGCACTCTGGCAGAGCTGGTTTCAGAACAGCTGGAGACATTCCAGTGGCACCTGAGTCAGGGAGTGGAGGATTTTCCTTCAATCCCAAAGAGCCAGTTGGAGAACGCTACCAGACAGGCCACAGTGGATATGATGGTGCAGCGATACCTTGACGACGGCACTGTGAAGATCACACTGGAGATCCTGAGGAAGATGGGCCAGAACAAACTGGCTATTGAGTTAAAGGAGAAGTTGACAAATGAATGTCTGAATGTGCAGCCTCAACACAACATGCGTGAACAATGAATTACATTCCCAAGGAGGGGAGAGGAAGGGGGTCACAGTTAACTTCGGGGGTTCTGTGCCATAGTGTGAAACATTACGAGTTTTTCAAATGCAGATCATGTAATGTTTACAAAGGACATCAAACATTTTCACACCACATGAAAAGTTAAGGATGTCTTATCTAACAAGATAGGCTATCTGCAACATTGTGAAAGTTTAACGGTCTTGAATGAGCCCCAGGTCTCAGGCAAGGTGACATCACTGTGAGGCTAATGTCTACCAGACAACCTACCTGTGTTACTCTGGTACACTGGTTTCAGACTACAAGATCAGAGACTCTATTCTTTATAGTCTCCCAATATAAAGGAGGAATATTTTTATATATCTGTACATGGAAGAATTATCAGGAACATTGTGAATGTTTAATCATCTTGGTCAGGTCTCAGGCAAGGTGACATCACTGAGAATATAATCTATCAACAACTTGACTGTGCTACTCTGGTGCACTGGCAGCTGACTACAAGATCAGGGACTGTTTTAATGTTGTGACACAAAAAATTTTATATCTGTACATAGTACAGAAGTTTATATAATGATATTTCTATGCTTTTTTAAATGTAAATATAATTATTTTCTTACATAAACATTGATCTGATGTATCATACTGTTGATCTATTTGTCAATGATACCTATGAATTTATGTCTGCAGATTACAAGATCAATGACTGATATTTGAGTGGTCTTCTACTGTGACATACAGCATAGGATAGCGTTTGTATTGTTAATATATTGGTAGTTAGTAATTAATTACACTACAAGACCAAAAATATGTGGACCCATGCTTGTCGAACATCTCATTCCAAAATCATGGGCATTAATATGGAGTTGGTCCCCCTTTGCTGCTATAACAGCCTCCACTCTTCTGGGAAGGCTTTCCACTAGATGTTGGAACATTGCTGCAGGGACTTGCTTCCATTCAGCCACAAGAGCATTAGTGAGATCGGCTGGGCACTGATGTTGGGCCATTAGGCCTGGCTTGCAGTCGGCGTTCCAATTCATCCCAAAGGTGTTCGATGGGGTTGAGGTCAGGTCTCTGTGCAGGCCAGTCAAGTTCTTCCACACCGATCTGGACAAACAATTTCTGTATGGGCCTCGCTTTGAGCACGGGGGTATTGTCATGCTGAAATAGGAACGGGCCTTCCCCAAACTGTTGCCACAAAGTTGGAAGCACAGAATCGTCTAGAATTTAATTGTATGCTGTAGCGATTTCCCTTCACTGGAACTAAGAGGCCTAGCCCGAACCATGAAAAACAGCCCCAGACCATTATTCCTCCTCCAAACTTTACAGTTGGCACTATGCATTGGGGCAGGTAGCGTTCTCCTGGCATCCGGACTGCCAGATGGGGAAGCGTGATAAATCACTCCAGAGAATGCGTTTCCACTGCTCCAGAGTCCAATGACGGCAAGCTTTACACCACTCCAGCTGACGCATTGCGCATGGTGATCTTAGGCTTGTGTGTGGCTGCTCAGCCATGGAAACCCATTTCACAAAGCTCCCGACAAACAGTTTTTGTGCTGATGTTGCTTCTAGAGGCAGTTTGGAACTTGGTAGTGAGTGTTGCAACCGAGGACAGACGATTTTTACGCGCTTCAACACTCGGCAGTCCCGTTCTGTGAGATTGTGTGGCCTACCACTTTGCGGATGAGTCGTTGTTGCTCCTAGACGTTTCCACTTGACAATAACAGCACTTACAGTTGACAGGGGCAGCTCTAGCAGGGCAGAAATTTGACGAACTGATTTGTTAAAAAGGTGGCATCCTATGATGGTGCCACATTGAAAGTCATTGAGCTCTTCAGTAAGGCCATTCTACTGCAAATGTTTGTCTATGGAGAATGCATGGCTGTGTGTTCGATTTTATACACCTGTCAGCAACGGCTGTGGCTGAAATATCCGAATCCACTCATTTGAAGGGGTGTCCACATACTTTTGTATTTAATGTTTATTGATCGTCCAACCCTCCATAATAAAATGAGACAGGAGACAGAGCTTAATAATTGACATACAATGTATTTATTCATTTTTGGTTATTTTCTGCCATTTACAACTTTTCGTTGTGTACATTTTTCTCTGTAGCAACTGTTTTTTTTAAAAGTCAAAAAACTAAAAGAAAAAATACAATCATTGCTAAACACCTAAAAAGGACTACATGCATGGAAGACGAGTAACATTATGATTTTTTTTTTCTTATTGTTATTTTTTTCCGTAGTCGTTTTGAGTAACATGATGCGTCCACGTCGGGCTCCAACACATGCGGCTGGTGCCTCTTTGTGAAACAGTATTAGAAAAAAACTATGTGACTAAATTATCTTCTCTTTTTTTAAACGAGAGAAAAAGAAAGTGGTTATAAAAAGAAAGAAAAAGAGTGATGTCAGACAACGTGTGGAGGGAGGGAGAGGAGGAGGAGGGTGGTAAGGGCTAGGGGGGTTATGGTGCATCGGGAGTGGAGGGGAGGGAGGGAGGGAGAGGAGGAGGGGGTGGTAGGGCTAGGGGTTTATGGTGCATCGGGAGTGGAGGGGAGGGAGGTAAGGGCTAGGGGTTTTGTGCACTACGGAGTGGAGGGAGGGTAGGGGAGCGTTGGTAGGGCTAGGGGTTTATTGTGCATCGCCGGAGTGGAGGGAGGGAGGGGAGGGTGGTAAGGGCTAGGGGGTATGGTGCATTCGGGAGTGGAGGGGGAGGGAGGGAGTGGTGGTAAGGTCTAGGGGGTTATGGTGCATCGGGATTGGGGGGAGGTAGGGGAGGGTGTAAGGGCTAAGGGGGTTTATGGTGGCACGGGAGTGGGGAGGAAGGGGGAGGGTGGTAGGCTATGGGTTATGGTGCTCGGAGTGGAGGGAGGGAGGGAGGGTGGTATGGTGCATGGGAGTGGAGGAGGGAGGGGGAGGGTGGTAAGGGCTAGGGGGTGGGTGATGGTGGCAGGGATGGGAGGGGGAGGGAGGGTGGTAAGGGCTAGGGGGTGGGTTTGAGGGAGTGGAGGAGAGGGAGGGGAGGGTGGTAAGGGCTAGGGGGTTATGGTGCATCGGGAAGTGAGGGAGGGAGGGTGGAGGGGGGGGGTTATGTGTAAGGGTGAGGGAGGAGGTTGGGGGGGTAGGGGATGGTGTGGGGAGTGAGGGAGGGAGGGAGGGGGAGGGTGGTAAGGGCTAGGGGGTTATGGTGATCGGGGGTTAGGGAGGGAGGGGAGGGGGGTAAGGGCTAGGGGTTATGGTGTGGAGTGGAGGGAGGGAGGGGAGGGTTGGTAAGGGCTAGGGGGGTGTATGGTGCATCGGGGTGGAGGGAGGGAGGGGAGGGTGGTAAGGGCTAGGGGGTTATGGTGCTTGAGGAGGGAGGGAGGAGGAGGAGGGTGGTAAGGGTGGGGGGTTATGGTGAGGGAGTGGAGAGGGAAGGGAGGGAGGAGGGTGGTAAGGGCTAGGGGGTTATGGTGCATCAGGGAGTGGAGGGAGGGAGAGGGGAGGGGGTAAGGGCTAGGGGGGTTTGGGGCATCGGGATGGAGGAGGGAGGGAGGGGTAAAGGGGGTAGGGGGGTTGGGGTGGAGGAGTGGAGGGGGGGAGGGGAGAGGGGAGGAGGGGGGTAAGGGGTGGGTTTTGGGCTCAGGAGTGGAGGAGGGGGGGGAGGGAGAGGAGGAGGTGGTAAGGGCTGGGGTTTGGGGATCGGGATGGAGGGGGGGGGGGGGAGGGTGGTAAGGGCTGGGGGTTAGGTGCCTCAGGAGTGAGGGGGGAGGGGGGGAGAGGAGGGGGGTGGTAAGGGTGGGGGTTATGGTGCATCGGGGGTGGAGGGAGGGAGGGGGGGTGGTAAAGGGTAGGGGGTTATGGGACGGGGTGGAGGGAGGGAGGGGGAGGGAGGGGGAGGGGAGGGGGGGGTGGTAAAGGGGTGGGGTTATGGGGCATCGGAGGGGGGAGGAGAGGGGGAGGGTGGAGGGGTAGGGGGTTTTTGGGGCACGGGGTAGGAGGGAGGGGAGGTGGTAAGGGCAGGGGGTTTTTTTCATCGGGGGTGGAGGGAGGGGAGGAAGAGGGGGAGGGGGGGTAAAGGGGTAGGGGGTTATTGGCATCGGGAGTGGAGGGAGGGGGAGGGGGGGGAGGGGGGTTTAGGGGTGGGGTTTTGGTCCCCCGGGTGGATGGGGGGGAAAGGGGGGTTTTGGGCTTTTTGGGGGTTTTGGTTTGGGGGGTGGGGGGTGGAAATGATGTCACTACGGTAGGGAGGGGGGGTTTCTCAGCTTTAGGTAGACTGAACGTGGTTTAGGGGGGGGCTTGGGTTTTTTAACCAAATTTTAGGGATTTTTGGGGGGGGTAAGGGGACTTGTGAGGGTGGGGGAATGGAATTTTAAGGGGAAGGGGTTTTGGAAGGGGGGGGGGGGGGGGGGGGGGTGACTGGTGTCTCCGTTTGAGGGGGTTCCGATGCACGCTGCCCGGGGTCCCCTGGGGGGGTAAGAGGGGTGGGCAGTGCTGTCCTGCCTCCACTATCAACCCCCGGAAGGGGAAAAAGGGAAGAAGGGGGAAGGGAGGTAAAGGAAAAAAGAGGGAGGAAAAAGGGAAAAAAGAAAAGGGGGAAAATAGGTGAAAGAAGGGGGAAAAAAGGGGGGAAAGGGAAAAGGTGGGGGGGGGAGCGGGGGGCGGGTAAAAAAGGGGAAATTGTGAAAAAGAAAATCATTGAGGTTTTCATATGGGTTTGGGCCCCACCCCAAGTCTCTTTAAAAAAAATGACATGGGGGAACAGACTGGGCCCCTTACTCCCATGGGACATGGGGGGGAACAGACTTACCATATCTCACTGGGGACTGGGGGAAACAAACTGGTACCCTAATACTCACATGGGGACGTGGGAGGAAAAAGAGTGGGACCATAGATACCCCATGGAGACTGGGGAAACAACTGGGAAAAGTACTCACATGGGAAAAGTGGGGGGGAAAAGACTGGTACCTAATACTCACATGGGAAAAGTGGGGAGGAAAAAACGGTACCATAGAACTCAC